TAGGTTGGAGGCCACATCGCTTCTAGGTTGGAGGCCACACCACTTCTCGGTTGGAGGCCACATTGCTTCTCAGTTGGAGGCCACATTGCTTCTAGGTTGGAGGCCACACCACTTCTAGGTTGGAGGCCACATCGCTTCTAGGTTTGAGGCCACATCCCTTCTCGGTTGGAGGCCACATTGCTTCTCGGTTGGTGTCTTCTCCAGTGGCCGCCCTGCCGATGGCACTCCGTGGATGGCGCTGCAGTCGTCCGGTCGGCACGTGCGCTGACCTGGATCTCGAAGACTCGAGGCAGCGCCACCTGGATCAGGTCGTCTGAGGCCTTGGTCTGCCGGTGTCTCCCGGCGCCTCTCAGAAAAGGCGATGCCAGGAGCCCTAGTAGCTTTATTGTTCCTAGTAGTAAGGCCAGGAGCCCCTAGTAGCGTCTTTGCTCCTAGTAGCGATGCCAGGAGCCCCTAGTAGCGTCTTGTTCCTAGTATATAGATCTTGTCAAAAGAGACTTCGTGGCGGTTCTTAAAAGCAAGCAAAGAAAAGTCTGCTGGTCCTCTACAAGGATCCTTTCACATCATTAATAGCTGCTGGTTGTTCGCTTCAAAGAGTGAAAAGCTCTTCCAAGTTCAGTATCAAAACTTTCAACCTTCGTGGACGGTGGAGGCCATCGCTTCTAGGTTGGAGACCATCTCTAGTAGGTTGGAGACCTTCGCGGATGTCCGCTCTTGTGGCTTTGTTCAATTCTCGAGAGGCGACGCCGCAGCTCAGCTTCGGTGTTCGCTGTCTCCCGACTGAGCTCTCGCGCCCATTTACACGTCGTCTCTGGGTACGGGCCCAAAAGAATCACTGTCTCCTAGAAAAGAAGGAATCTCACAAACCAGATTATCGAAAATTTGTGAAGTGTCCCAAAAACATCCAAAAAACAAATAATTAGTGCCAGCGTTTATGCAAGGAAGCTTTCCCAGGGAGCTTCTTTGAAGAAGCGTGAGCTGTCTTGCGTCCTGTCGGTAGTAGCTGCTTGTTAGCTACTAGCTACCTCTTCTACTAGCTACCTAGCTACCTACCTCTACTAGCCGCCTACCCCCCCTTAAACAAAAAGTGTATAAAAGTATATATATATAATAGATACTAAATATCTATGCTTTAAAGGGAAAACGAGATTCTCTCAGATCTTTGGACTCTAGTCCTTTCCGATCGACACCGTGTGCTCTGTAGCGTCAGTGCTCGTACTCCGTGTCTTTTGCTCAACAAGAAACGAGATGAGGCCATGATGTTGGGCTTGGCGAAAAGTCAAGAAATTATGTGACAAACAGTGTTGCTGTGCAAGAATTGAGATCCCCAACAGCTTTGATGAAGAACACAAACTCTTTTCAGAACACCAAACAGTAAAGCATCGGTTTGGCTCTTTTGAAGCTGACCAAAGGCGAGCAGTGCATGCACTTGTGGGGTTTTGCCCACACAGGTTTGAAAATGAAGTTTTCTTGATGACGTTTGTCTTTTATGCTTTATTCGCATCCGACATGTTCGAGACTCCCGCTCGGTCCGCATCAAAGACGTTGGCACAATCCCACGCATCTCCAGTGAGCTGCGTGGTGTAGTCGATGATGTCTGGCCTGCGGAGACTTGAGCTTGGACACAGCATCGTGAACGCAGCAAGTCCTTGAGAGCCCACAAAACACCTGCGGTTTTCATGCGAGCAAACCACCACATGAGCAAACCACTTTGGTGCAAATCAAACCTCCTTCAACGAGAGCGTGTCAACGGTCCCCCGCACACGATGTCGTTGTTGGTGTCCACAGGCAATGCACCGCGTAGTGTTGCACGATCGAACTTCACATCAATGGTGACAGCCTGCGTAGGCTTCTCATCAAGTGTTCGAAACTCATCCAATCCAGTACTAGACTTTGTTTAATTCACCAGAGCCCCGAATCACACTAGTATTCGGAGAACAAACTCCTATCGTTTTGTTCCCCAATTCCATTTTTTCAACACAAGAAATGAAACAATGCCTCCATACTGAAGCGAGCGTAGACCAGCGCCGGCGCTGCCAACGACAGAGGGATGCGCGGTTCCTGGGCTCAGAGTGGTCGTGCAAAGCTGGGTTCTGCCGTTTTCGGATTTGAACATTGGGAATATACAAAGCTGTGGGAAAATAGTAGCTTTATTGTTCCTAGTAGGGATGCCAGGAGCCCCTAGTAGCGTCCTTGCTCCTAGTAGCGATGCCAGAAGCCCCTAGTGGCGTCCTTGCTCCTAGTATACAAAGCTGTGGTCCCTTTGTTTGCAAGCTTTGGCAGGTTCAGTTTCTCCACCTTTTGTCCGAGGAATGAAAGCTAAAATAGACATCTGTGGAAGCGAACTGTCTGATGTATATATGTTTGACGGACGAGTGCACCGCAACACTAAATGGAAGGGGCAACAGTAGCGTTCACGCTCGTTCCTTGTCTTTTATTTCGATTCAAGTCCATCTGAGTCAAGTTGTAGTTTCTTGGAACATCCTTCTTGTCAAATCTGCTCGCTGGCACTGGCCTTGTTAAAGATTGGAGTATACGGAGACTTGTAGCTCACAGTGCCTTCACATTCAGCAGGACACCAGTCCTTGGCCAGCCAACAAGCTCGACAAGAAGTTGCACAGTGTAATAGGCTCGGGACTGTTGCAATGTGCAACCGTTTTTCTCTAAACCGACACCAAGCACATGGTAATTCTGCACTGTCGGTCATGCAGACCCTTGCTGTGTCGATGTATTGTGTGCCTCAGACATCCGCAAGAGGGACGAATCCGGCTCTTTCCCCAGTCGATTTGGAAACATGTCCCGATGTCCCCAATCTGAGAACTACGCAAAAAAATGAGAAAATGTATCAACATGATGAAACCCAAAGAAAAGCAAGCTCCAGTTTGGGCCATGCAAAAGAGAATGCTCAAATCCCCACGGGGTCAAAACGGATAACAAGGCACCAAGCACACTGGTATTGTATTGGCAACAGAGCGTGGAACAAGCTACCAACGACTGCTCATAGACACGAGGAACTACAAACATACAGCTCATTCCACTTGAAACGTTGCTTCGTTGCGCTTCTCATCGCTCCCTGAGCATCCCTCCTCTCAAGCCACACACGGGCTGCCAAGAGCGTTGTATGCTCCACTGTCGACTCCCTATGCTAAATGTGCAATGACTTGCGGTAGTTCAAGACATCGAGACATCGAAGCGCAATTTGCGACTGCCAAGGCAGCGGCAAAGTAGATCTGCTCCCGGATACTGATCTGCGACGAGGACGCAAATGCCAAACAGGCGCTTCAAATGTTGTAGGGCTGCATGTGATGCACTTTCAGTGGCTTTCAGTGTTTGATGCTCAATTCTGCAAGGCAATTTTAGAGACATAAACTGAGCTGCCTCCATCAAAATGGGCGGATATTGCCGTGGATCTCGTGGTAAGGTCCAATCTGAGGGATATTTCCTGGCACAGAACACTGACCTCCTCCCCTTTCTTCCCTGCTTGCCAAGAGCTTTCGCTTCGAATTCTACATGCCCATCACTGCATTGAAAGTTGCAGTGAAGACTTTGTGCCTTACCATGATGAAGCTCTTGTTGAAAAGATGTTCACTAGCAGCCTCAGAATGGCGTTGGGTCAGTTTTGCTTCACAAGTATTCAAAGAAGTGCAAAATCAAACAAGAAAAACAAGTATCAAAGAGGAAAAAAACAAAGAAAAACAAATTGCACAAAGTGGAGTCTGCCGTCCGATTTGGGGGTCCGTGCTAAGCCCGGGCTCAAGAAAAGGTCACCAAAGTCTTCGACGGGCACCAGGCGCTGGGGCCTCAGTTGCAACGTGCCATTCCGAGCGTTTTGGTTCTTTTTGGGCTTTTTGGCCGGAGATGGGCGTTCCAAATAGAAGGCTGAAGAGAGAGGAATACGTCTCTGGTACCGTCTAAGACGTAGCGCCGTACGATGAGCGAGAAGGGGCAGCAACAAAGCAAAAGCCAGTGATCACCGTGTTCGCGAGAGAGTTGGAATGTGTGATGCACCATGTGGTAGCTACAGACAGACCCACCATGTCTTTGTCGCCTTGGGCAATAGCTGCACAACTAGGAACTTGCAGGCCGGATCTTGCAGCGTGTTGACTGCAAATTGCCGACTGGCAAAACAAGTGCAAATGTGTTTAGACACGACATCGAGAACCGGACAGAGCAGGAGTGTACATCCACTCCACGCGCTTGGCGTTCTGCGAAGAATATATGTGGCTGTGAGGAGACAGAAGAAAAAAATGAATTATTCTTGTGTTCTTGAATGATCTTGCTCCCAAACCACAGTTTTAGACTGAGAATGACTCAACGGAAGCACAAGGGTGACATTGCTGCACCTCTACCTCGTTAAAATAGATCTTTGCAATGGTGACCTGGTCACGGAACGCACAGAAAGTCGTGTCGTGATGTTTCGGACTATCCAAATGCCTTACTAGGAGCGATCGGACGCTACTAGGAGCAAAGGGCATCGCTACTACTAGGGGCTCCTGGCCGTACTACTAGGAGCAAGTAGCTAGGTCTTAGCCTCTGCCGACAAGGACGGCTCTCGACCAACAAATGGCTTCAACGTTGTTTAGGCTACGCTTACCGCTACAGGCACGTCCGGTTTGCTCTGCTCAGCGCCGATTGGGCACGGACGATCATCATGGAGCCCGCTCGGTGGCCCACTGCAATCACATCGCCATGCTTCTCATTGACCTAAAAGATCACTGTGTCGCTTGGCCATGACAAACTTGTCCAAACCATAAAAGACTGACTACCGGGTTTTCATCAATGTCTACATATACATGGTGCTTTAGGTTTCGCAAAAACATTGTTCCCTCATTTGTTCTCCGCCAGAATTGGCCAGACATTCCCAAAAGCCTCCATGCAAGCTCGCCAACTGCACAAGGATCTATTCAGCAGTGATTTGAAGAGGGAATGTTCTAAAACCAAGGAACCTGTCGACGAGCTCAACATGTTGGTGCAAGAACTCTGTTTGAAAAAGTAACAATAGTAATAACAATAGCTCTGTAAACCTTGCTGATTGAAACTGTAAACCTTGATGAATCGCACCGTGCACTGAGCCACGCGACCAGGAGTTGCAACACGGTGAAGTCTAGTCCTTGTGCCTTGCACGAAGAGATCAAAGCCAAGCCGCACAAAAGCCATCCAATGCTATCCCGTCAAATCAAAGCGTAAACAGGTCGAAGCATTGCGGCGAACGGGGTAACAAGTTGTATTTGCTTGCACCCTCTATGAAACTGCTCTCATGTGATCATTGATAATTACTGTGAACCTCTGTTCCAAGAAGACAGTGTTCCCATTGGCACTCTTCTCGCTTTGTGCACGTCTTTGTAATACTGTATATATGTTCTTTCAATGAAATGAAAAAAAATACATCAAAACTTTTCCAGCATATCTTTTGGCCTCGATGATCACCGCATCAGGGATGCTGATGAAATACACTCGGGACCTGAAAGCTGGACCGCGATGTTTGGTCTGACATGCTCGCGGTTCGTTCACTTTGGCTTCGCGGTTTTCAGAGGAAAACGCGCTACGTGGTGTGGAGCCACTGCATCCGAGTGGCTTGGTATTCTTCAGAAGTCCTGTTGGCTCAGCCTGGGTGAAGACAAAGACATCTTGGCCTCAGAGCGACGCAGCAAGGTGCACACCCTGGCATGGGCAAGGCGTCCAAATCTCAGGGCTTTATTTGGTTGAGTTTCTGAAAGACTCCAAATAAGGGAACTGTTTGGTCTTGGATCACCACTCTTCCTTATGTCTTAAGTCCTAAGATTCTTTTTCATTTGTCATAGTTCCTGAGTCTGATCTGCCCCGTTCCTCAGCCCCCTGCCGTTCCGCGAATAGATGGCAGAGTTTGTGGTCCATGCCATGAATTGCGCGGTCATCGGTTCCGGAAAGTTGACCAACGGAAGCTCCTGGATACGAGGAGATGTATGGCTCTGGGGATGTGGAAGTAACAAGAACGCTAGTAGAAACAAGTGCCTTACTAGGAGCAAGAAGCTACTAGGGGCTCCTGGCCTCACAGCCGAGAATGCAAGAGATTCGGCAGGGATTTTTTCTTTACTCTTGTGTTACAAAATAGGTAAATTCAAGCTATGTTCTTCGATGAATGTGAGCTCCTCATCAAAGACGATCTTTGGATGAGTGATGTTCACTGTGTCGACCCGCGCTGTAAAAAGCCAATACCTTGAGCTTTGGAGTTCAGTATGCAACATGCATTCTGGCAGGCAGGGCGATAAGTTGAAAAACAAAAAGAGCAACCCGCCGGCTTTAAGATTTCCAGACAAGTTTCTATTCTACAGCGAGATACTCGAGTCTAAGTTTCATCACTGTTCTGCTGAGTCACTGCCAGGGTTGCAACATCCGAATTCGTGCAGTGGATGGTGATGTCAAAATGCCCACCAAGCGCGAACTGTCAAGGTCATACTTGATGCCTTGGAGCCACAAAGCATAACCTTTTATCTAGAAAAAGAGTCCAAGATTTGTGATGCTCCGGCATGAGGAAATCCCGAGGCCCCCAGCCATGCACCATGCCAGGGATTCGGGACTGATACGGAAACCTTAGGGCATGAGTCTGACATGAGTCTTGCCAAGGTAGACTGGGCTCCAAATTATAGCTTTAGAGCTTTTAAGTTACAAATGATCGCTTCCAATGGCGGTGGCCTCCAACCTAGAAGCGTTGGCCTCCAACTAGCTACAAATGAGCGCGCTTCTCCATTTCTGGTGGTTCTCCTCTTGGTTGTTGTTTCCTATGGATTTTACACACATTACTTAAAACCTGATTGGTCAAAGCCCGGATAAATCTCAGAAAAGTTCTGCGCTTTGCAGCTGTTGCAAGACTTTTGTATTCCCTTTTTGTCCTGGCTCCAAGAGGCAAAAGTGGCTGCAAAGCCAGTCAGGAACCGCCCATTCAGGCAAATGGAACCGACCTCTTTGCTGCTTTTATGGAGGCTCATCAATTCAGGCCTCTAAGGTACAGAAAGGATGATGCTTCACAGCCAGCTCATTGAAGAAATGCGCCTTCGAGTGTGAAGCTACAAGTGGTACGAGAAATTCATTTAATGAAAAACAAATCTCTGTATACTCCCTTTCCCCCAATAGGACCAACAGGAACTGAAAAAAAAAGAAAAATCCACTAACAATCCTTTTACAATCGCTTTTAGATTCTGTTGTGCTCCAAAATCTCCAACCCGCCTGTGCCAGGTTTTGGCAGGAATGCTGGGTGAGTCGACCGCTCGCCATGCAAACCGCTTCAACGCCCTAGAGCCGGCCCTGCTGTTCCCAGCGAAGCAGCACTTCCTCCACCTCGCGAAGGTCGACATAAGTTCACATAAGGTCATTCTAAACATAAATACTACTAGCGATGGCCTTCATTCATTCTGAGTCATTATGTTTATCATTGTTTATCTTACAAATGATCAAACGAGTGCTGTCAACATGTCGGAATCGCTTAGTCGAAATCATTCATGTCATTCTGTGCAAAGAAGCATGTCTGATTCGGACGGTCTGAGCAAAGAAACAACTCAAGAACAAAAACTCGGCAGCTACGAAGAATCCATATGAATTGATATCAACGGAGGTTGATCTTATCTTGCCTTGGACACTTGATCAACCTCCGCATCTGCAGCAGTGTCTCCCACAGCTGCCGGCGCCGCCATCTCGAAAGGGCCGCAGCCCTCACACTTCGGTGGGTGAACCCAGATGGAACGCCAGCCTGTGGGCACTGGCGCGGTGAGTTTTCACAAACCAAGGGATGGTCTTCACGGTCTGTCTTCCTAAAGCAGGTCAAGGCGGGTCTGTTCACTAGGGTGGAGGCCATCGCTACTAGGGCGGGCGCCATTGCTACTAGGGTGGAG